CAGCTGTCAATCAGCATGAGGTTATTTATTTTCCATGTTTTTCTATGAGTATGTGGATTTCTGTTGTTACTGAGTTCAACTTTTATTCCATGATGGTCTGAGAAAATACAAGAAATGATTTCTATTCTTTTAAATTTACTGAGGTTAGACTTGTGACCTAAGATGTGATCAATTTTGGAGGATGTTCCATGGGTTGATGAGAAGAATATGTATTCAGTTTTGTTAGGATGAAATGTTCTGTAGTGTTAAATGCAATTGTTGAATGGTTAAGCTTAAGTCTAAAATTTCTTTGCTTAGCTTCTTATTGGAGGATCTTTCCAACACTGCCCAAAGGGTGTTAAAATCTCCAATTATTATGGTACTGGAGGAAATCACATTGCTCATGTCTGTTAGAGTCTCTCTTATGAATTCAGGTGCCTTCTGGTTGGGTGCATAAATGTTAATAATTGAAATCTCATCATGGTGAGTGTTAACCTTAACAAATATGAAGTGACCATCCTTATCTTTCCTTACTTTCGTTGGTTTAAAGCCTATTGTATCCGCAAGTAAAATTTTTTCTGATTTCCATTTGCCTGAAATATAGATGACTATCCCTTTACCCTGAGTCTATGTTTATCTTTTAAGGTAAGGTGAGATTCTTGAATGCAGCAGATATCTGGCCTGAGATTTTTTTGTATCCAGTCTGCCATCCTGTGCCTCTTAGAGGGCAATTTAAGCCATTCACATTAATTGACTCTGGCGGATCCTGCTTTTGTTGCTGAATCTTTGTGGGAACTGTCCTTGTGCAGCTCCCAGGCAACTGCCATGCCAGGTAGTCAGCTGTAGGAGCAGCTCCAGGAGCATGGGACACACAGATCCAGAAGCAGGGCAGGGCACGTAGTACACCGTTCTGGCAGTGCAGAGCTTCCAGTGGCTTCAGCACAGTGGGCACTTGGCCCATGGCTCTGGCATGGCAGCGTGCAGCGAGGAGGCTCTGGCAGGGCAGAGCACAGTATGCGGCTCTGGCAGGGCAAGGCACTTGGTGGCTCTGGCTGGGCACAGTGCTGTGTAGAGGTCCCAGCAGGGTGGAGCTCATGGTCCACAGTGTTTCCAGCAGGGCAGGGTGTGCAGAGAGTGGCTCTGGTTGGATGGAGTGCAGAGCTCTGGGCTCTGGCAGGGCAGAATGCGTGGCTCTGGTGGGGGGGGAGCATGGGGCATTTGGTCCGGCAGGGCCAGGTGCGCTGCTCACAAGCCTCCTCCCGCAGTCTCTGCAGGGGTTAGGCTTCTGGACTGTCAGGCAAGGGGGGAAGGGTGGACTGGAAGTTCAGAATGGCAGGGAAAACATTAGTTCAATTTTCCTGCGTGGCAAGAGAGTGTTCAGGGTCATAACAGGGTCCCTCTGGGGAAGTAGTCCCCATTTCCTACAGCTCTTTCCTGTGAGGTGAGATAAGAGGTCCTCAGTTCATGCTCACCTAAGAAAATCTGAAGTTTGCTTTCTTGGAGTTGCAGCTTGCCTCAGCAGAGCTGACCTGCAGTTATCACTCTTCTCTTTCGGCTCAGCTCCCAGTCTTTAACTTAATTGAGTACTTTCTGGTCATTATCCTTCCCTCTGGACAGGAGCTTCTGTTGAAAATTGGCACCAGTCCTGGATAAAAGATTTAAATTTAAGACACAAAATAATAACAATTCTAGAAGAGAATGTGGGGAAAACACTTGAAAATGTTGGCCTGGGAAAAAACTATGAAGAAGACCCACCTAGCAATTGCAGGAACACTAAAAATAACTGGGATTTGTTCAAACTAAAAAGATTTTGCACAGCTAAGAGTACCACAGACAAAGCAAACAGATAGCCTTTGAAATGGGAGAATATTTTTGCATGTTACGAATCTGACAAAAGCCTGATAACAAGAATCTACAGAGAACTGAAATTAGATAATAAGAAAAGAGGAAACAATCTTCTCTGTAAGTGGGTAAGAGATTTGAACAGAAACTTCTCTGAGGATGATAGACAAATGGCCAAGAAACACATAAAAAAATGCTCATCATCTTTAATCATCAGAGAAATGCAAATCAAAACCACTCTGAGATATCATCTAACCCTAGCAAGATTAGCCCACCTCACTAAGTCCCAAAACATCAGCTGCTGGCAGGGATTTGGAGAGAAGGGAACACATCTACACTGCTGGTGGGATTGCAAAATAACACTGCCTTTTTGGAGAGAAGTATGGAGAATCATCAAAGATCTAAAAGTAGACCTTCTTTTTTTTTTTTTTTTGACAGAGCCTCAAGCTATCCCCTTGGGTAGAGTGCTGTGGCGTCACAGCTCACAGCAACCTCCAACTCCTGGGCTTAAGCGAGTCTCTTGCCGCAGTCTCCCAAGTAACTGGGACCACAGGTGCCTGCCACAATGCCTGGCTATTTTTTGGTTGCAGCCGTCATTGTTGTTTTTGGTGGGCCCGGGCTGGATTCAAACCCGCCACCTTAGGTGTATGTGGCTGGTGCCTTAGCCACTTGAGCCACAGGCGCTGAGCCTAAAAGTAGACCTTTCATTTGATTCTGCAGTCCTATTACTAGGTATCTACCCAGAAGAACAAAACTCATTTTACCACAAAGACATTTGCACCAGAATGTTTATTGTAGCTCAATTTGTAATTGCCAAGTAATGGAAGCAACCTAAGTGCCCATCAATCCATGAATGAATCAATAAACCATGGTATATGTATATCATGGAATACTATTCAGCCATTAAAAAAGATGGAAACTTTATATCTTTTACATTTACCTGGATGGAGTTGAAATACATTCTTCTTAGTAAAGTATCACGAGGATGGAAAAATAAATATATAATGTACTCCATACTAATATGAAATAAATATATAAACAATTACATGCTCTTAAGAACAATAAAACACTAATATAGTGTAGTTTGGGGGTAGAAGGAAGTGGGAGATGGAGTGGGTAGGACAATGAGGCAGGATCTTACCTGATGTGAGGGTGTATAACACAACACCTGGGTGAGAGGCTCCTCTACAAATGGAACTTTACCCTGGAAATGAGAATAATGTAACTTAAAAATTGTACCCTCATATTAATTAAAAAAAATTTTTTTTAAAGAAAAAAATGGTGGAGGGGAGGGGCCTGGATCATAAACTTTTAAAGAGAAAGAGATAATGTTTACTTGAGTATTTAATTAATTTTCTTATGTGCCTCTGGGAGAAGGAACAGAGGACTTTATTATAATTAAGGGATTTTTTTTTTTTTGAGACAGAGTCTCACTTTGTTGTCCTGGGTAGAGTGCCATGGTGTCATAGCTCACAGCAACCTCAGAATCCTGGGCTCAAGTGATTCCCTCCCCCCAGCTCCCAAAGTAGCTGGGACTACAGAAGCCTGCCACAACTCCCGGCTATTTTTAGAGACAGGGTCTTGCTCTTGCTCAAGCTGGTCTCGAACCTGTGAGCTCAGGTAATCCACCACCTTGGCTTCCCAGAGTGCTAGGATTACAGGCATGAACACCACTCCCAGCCAAAGGTTATTTTTTAAAAAGGGGGAATTTTAAGTATTTGTTGTTTGTTTTTTCATTCATTCATTATTCAAAAAGCATTTACTGAGCATCTGCTGAGTACAGGAGAGTATTCATGGACATGTTTCCAAGTGCTGTGAAGATAAGACTCTCTACCTCCCCTGAAGGAAGGCATGTTTCCATCTATGACTTTGTCATCATGTTCCAGGGAATCAGTCCTGTTTGGAACTGGCTTTGACTCTCCCCTTGTCTTTCCAACAGCCATCCTCACCCCACCATGGATGGATGTCACCAAGGATGGCTTTCACCTGGTTATTGAGCTGGAAGACCTGGGACCCCAGTTTGAGTTCCTTGTGGCCTATTGGAGGAGGGAGTCTGCCACTAAGGTGAGACTTCCTGCCTTGGTGTTTGGGTCAGGTTTTGGGGAAGGAGGCACAGATTTCTGAGGGTGAGAGAAGGAAGCTGGCCCCTGCAGTGCTCACTGGTTGCCCTGAGAGTGAGCAGTCCTGGGTAAAGTGTGTAAAAGGAGATTAGAGTACTTCCTCGGTCTCTCTCAGGCCTTGGCCGGGAGACTTTTCAGGTTAGATCTGCTGAAGTGTGAGGGCTGCTTCCTTGCTCTAAGCCCTAACCTAGTTGGACCCACAACACCTTTACAATGCATTTTTTTCTCCCTCATCAGCTGGTCTCTTCAGCCACTTTGTGGCAGCAGGTCAGGAGTTCCAGATCAAATGAATAATTCCAAAAGCAGATGAGGCTGGTACAAAGTTCTTGAGGGTGTGTATCTTGGCAGGGTGTAGGAGTTGGGGCAGTGAGCCAGGAGCTAGCTTATGAATAAACCTGAGCAAATGGGCTATGCAGAATGCCTAGATGGGGTGCTGCCCTGCCTGTGGGAAGATTGCTGCAGTCTAGGGTGGGTAGAAGGATAGTTCTCAGAAGGAGTGGCCAAACAAGTCATAGCAGCAGGAGAACTGGAGCTTTAGCAGGAACGAGGGAACACTGAAACCTGTGGAGCCCCTGTTCAAGCTGATACAGTGACAAAGCCTAGAGACCAGTTCCAGTGAGCACAAGGAAAAATAGTCTTTGTCATAAGGATTAATATGGTACAATAAAAGGCTCTCACAGGGTCTATGGAGAGCCTATATGGAACTGGCACAGGGCCAGGCAACAGTGCAGCCTCCCTTACCCAGGGCCCTGTGCCTGAGGAGTCCTTTCTTCCCCGTGGTGGGCTCTCCTTATAGCATACTTCCTGTGGTCCTCTCCCAGCCTTCCCCCTAGCCTCAATCCCTCATCACTCCTTCCTACAGATGCCTAAGATATTCCTCCCAAGCCCATTCAAAATCTCTCAGACCTGCCTCCCTCTCACTGTGTCATCTCTCTGTCCCTACTTTTAGGTCTAGGCACCCAATTTTCTTAAGACCAAATCCTTAGAAGAGCAATAGATGGGTTTTGCTTATCTTATCAGGCCAAGCTTTAGGGATCACAGGTAGCCAGCTGGCCTCTGATTAGACAATTTTCAGGAGAGGGGCACCCTTGATCTTATAGCAGTGTCTGTGGTCAGGGCACATTTCCTGTCATTCATTCAACAGGGGATTAGGTGGTAAGGGCAGGTGGGGCAGGCAATAATACTGAGTCCCAGTATTTACTCCTGCTAGGTCACGGCCTACTATTAGGACATGGCACTGCCAGCCAACCAGATGGAGTAGTGTAGGGGACTAGGCCCCATGCATGCTCCCTCAGATTCATTGGGATGGAGCCCACTCCCCACCCTTGGCAACTGGCAAGGATGGTGCTGAGAGAAGAACATGTACCCTGAGTCATCTGGGCTGGGTCCAGACAAGCCTCCCCAGGCTCAGATACAGAACAGAGAGAGCAGGGTGGAGGTGGGGCAGATAAACAGATGGGGGAACAGATGGGTGGACAAATGGACAAGTGAGGAGGTACTGCCTGCCAGCTCTAGTGCTCCTCGCATTGACCCCCCTGGCAGTAGTGGCCATGCCAAGCCCCCACTCATTCATGTTTCCAACCTTCAGGTCTCGGCCCAAAGTTACCCTGTCAGAGAGGCCTTCTTTAACCATCCTGTTTAAGGTAGTGCCTCCTCATCTACCTCTTTGTTTTGCTTTTCCTTCATAGCCCTTGTTACCATCTGATACGTATATTTATTATTTATTGTCTTTCTTTTCCTATGGGAGCTCTAGGAGAGCAGGGACTTTGTTTTATTCAATGCTGTGTCTCTATGCCTAGAACAGTGTAGTAGGTGCTTAATAAATATGAATACATAAATGAATGAACGAACATATGTGTACATAAATGAGAGGGATAACTCTGTATATATTCTGGAAAGGAAATGTCTGCAGCTTTCCCTCCCTGGCTCTTCTCACTCTTTCCAGTCCTGCTGCCCTCATGGACTAACTGTATTTTCTGGTCTCCCAAAGGAACACATCAAAATGGTGAGGAGTGGGGGCATTCCAGTGCACCTGGTAACCATGGAACCAGGAGCAGCGTACTGTGTGAAGGCCCAGGCAGTGGTGAAGGCCATTGGGAGGCATAGCGCCTTTAGCCAGGCAGAATGCATTGAGGTTCAAGGTAAGGACAGCCTCCCTGTCCCCTGGAGCCCTGGGTGATAGCCCTCCTAGCACATGCTCAGATGCTTGCTGGGTTCCTTTGGTTAGGAGTTTTCCTTTGATTTCACTGACCTGTCCCCCAGGCTGGGTGGGTTCCCATGGTGAAAGTACATGTCATTCTAATTCCCTAGAGGCAGGAGTCCACCCTGGGGCTAGGTGGGGTTACTCCAGCCACTGTCTGGAACACTTCCCCCCTTGAAATTTCCTAGGCTGGGGGCCAGATGTTGCAAGACCAGTTAACTGAGTGGTCACTGCTTGTGAATCAGAGTGGGCTGCAGGAGCAGCAGATCTTGTAAGGAGGCACCACATTGTATAATGATACTGTATAAGATCACAGCTCCTTTTATCTGGAAGGATCCTTTTGGAAAGTCTACAGAATCCTCTTGTTTGACCTATTTTTTTTCCCTGAATATTTTATGGTGTAAAAACCTGTAATGTTTAGAATATTTCGAAAAGAAACGAAACCATGCAAATCTCCATATCCCATGACCCTGCCACTAAAACACCGCTACATTTTAGTGGTGTATAATACTTTTGTGTTGAACATTTTTATCTTTTTAAAAAGATAAATCATTATCTTGAATACATGGTACATTTATATGGTTCCAAAAATATAAGATACATGTAGAAATTCTCTTTTTCCCTCCTCTTCCCCATCTATATAATTCCTGCACTCTCCTCTATAGGTATAAGCTCCTTGTATACCCTTCCGAAGACTTTTTAATGCATATGCAAGTAAATGAGAATGTATTTATGTAATGGGAACATGCTCTAGGCATTGTTCTGGATCTTGTCTTTTTTACTTTATATATTGTGTAGATTTTTCCATATTGATAAAGACATCTCTTTAGCTGCCTTTATAGCTATGTAGTAATTCCATTGTTTGAATATATAATAACTAATTTAACTAGTTCCATATTGATGGGCATTTAGGTTTTTTTCCAAATATTTTGCCATTATAGCCAATGTGCAAATTAATTTCCTTGGGCACAGATCATTTGCTGGTATGTATATATTTGAAGGATAAATTCTTTGAAGTAGAGTTGCTTGGTCAAAGTCATACATATTTGAATTTTGATCACTATTTTCAAATTGCCCTCCAAGGGATGTTATTCTCTAGTCATTCACTGCCCAAGTGTAGGCACATGCTGTATTCCTATCTATCAAATGTACGCTTATGCCCATTTTTTCACAAATATCATATCTATAATGTTTTCCATGCAGATTTCCTGATTACTACATTTTATACTACTTTTAAAAATTATATGAGTCAAGCATAATAATTCAGACAACACAGAATTACATAAAGTGAGTGGTAAGTGTTCTGTTCTCTCCCAACAATTCAGGAGGTTTCTTTTGGCAAGTTTAGCATTTAATCTTCCAGTCATTTCCTGTGTGGTATCAATGCACACCGACATACAAGGTGTCTAACGTTTTTTCTTTCCTCTGCACACTGGAAGAAAAAGAGCTGTCTTGGGCCACACATTAAATACACAAACATTAATGAAAGCTGATCAGCAAAAGAAAAGGTCTCTGCATACGTTTTGTGATATCCAACACCCTAGAAAAGCACAACAGTCCTCAAATAATCTGCATGTGGCCCACAGGCTGCAGGTTGAACACGCACTATACTATACCTACTGTTCCGTACCTGGCTTGACTTCACCTAGAAGTATATTGTGAACGCCTTTTCATGTCAGTGTGTATGGATCTACTCATGTTTTAAAAACATTCACAATAAGCCAACATATGGAAGTGCCAGTATATGTAATCAATTATGAGGCTTTCATTTCAGTCCAGCTGTTGCTAAGAACTGACTTATACATATAACTATTTCCTACCTTGGAATTTTTTTTGGAATTAAAATCACAGAGTGGGTGAAAGGGTGTGAACATTTGTGTACTTCTTGATGTATATTGCCAAAATACTTTCCAAAAGCAGTGAAACCATACAATGCCCCCAGTCACATGTGAGTTCACAGCTTCTCCATAGCCTCACCAGCTCAGCAACCCTTCACATTGCTGGACAGAGGCTAAATGAGTTTCTCAAGGTTGCATAGAACAGAGAGATGAGAAAATAACCTGTCCTCTCTTCTGCATCTCCAGATGCTCAGGTCTGGCCCTTTCTGCTGCATTCATTTGGTAAAATAATTGTGGTCTTTGGAACCAGCCTTCCCTGCATGACCTGCAGTAAGTTATGCAACCATTCTGAGTATAGAATCCTTTTTATAAAAGCAGAGATACTCACACTTGTTGTGAAGTTATGAAAAATAAGTGACTACATGTGTGGCCCCTATAACAGTGTGGAAGAAGGTAGCAGCTCTAGCATACATAATAGGGGCTTGATAAATCATAGTTATTATGTGACTCTTTTCTGAACTCACTATTTCCTCCATAATATAAATCAATGCCAACAGCAAATTGTGAAACACACTTTGTTTTCAGTTACCGCCCAGCTCTGTTCTACTCTGTTCTCTCTCAGCACCTCCCCCTTCTGCTGAAGGCCTGGCGCTCTGCCTACCTCCTGGCAGTGATGCCAAGGTACGTGCTAACACGACTAGTGGCTTAACATATGATACTCCTCCCTTTCCCTTACCCAGAAAAAGATTTTAATCTTTTTAATCCTGAAGCTTTCAGGAAACCATGCCTTAATCTTGATTCTAGAAAAATAGTTTTAAAAAAGAGAGAGATTCCTCATGGTTGCTGTAATTCTGGCACTCTGAGAGGCAGAGGCTGGGAGAATTCCTTGAGCTCAGGAGTAAGAGATTAGCCTGAGCAAAGTGAGACCCCCATCTCTACTAAAAAATAGAAAAATTAGCTGGACATTGCTATGGGCATCTGTAGTCCCAGCTACTCCGGAGGCTGAGGTGGGAGGATTACTTGAGCCCAGAGGTTTGGAGTTTGAGGTTGCTATGAGCTAGGCTGATGCCATGGCACTCTAGCCTGAACAACAGAGTGAGACTCTGTTTCAGAAAAAAAAAAAAAGAAGGAATGGTTTTATGGGTGATAATTTTAGTCACTAGGGCAAATATCAAACCTTAGAATGTTGGTATCTGCCATTTTGGCTAATGTGCAGAGCCAACTCCAGGAAACTGGAGGAGGCCCGGTTTAGAGATTTTGTCTTCACCGTTGTTTCCTAAGGTGTTATCTTTTTGTTTCCAGAAGAGGCCCTTCCCCTGGCGCTGGCCCTGTTTGCATTTGTTGGCTTCATGCTGAACCTTGTGGCTGTGCCGATCTCCATCTGGAAAATGGGCCAGCTGCTCCGGTACTCCTGTTGCCCTGTGGTGGTCCTCCCAAACACCTTGGTAATAGTGTTCTTTTTTCCTTCCATCATGACACTGACCAGATCTAGTTTGGGCCTCAGTTGGCAATGGGTACACGTTTTGTGGAATTAGAGGCATTTGTACAGGGAGATGAGAGTACTTATAGGACTTGAGGTCTAATCAGAAGGACTAGGAGAGATCTCCCTTCTCCAGAGCACAGGAAGGCTACCTGTTTCATTCCCCTAAGCCCTGACATAGCCAAAAGAATAGATGGGTTGTCCACCTAGGATGCTTGGGGTTCTGGGAGTCATGCACTCTTACCCTTCTGGACTGGCATGCCTAGTATTCTTGACCCCCTTCCATCAACTGTAACAACAGCTATGCCCAATAACATGTTCCAATACAACATATTCAATCCCCATGCCAAAGGCCTCATTGTTCTCAGGATGAAGAATACGTATGTAACATGGGAGGCATGGGTTATGCTTCAACTTTTGTTGGTGTGGAGTTTGGTGAAGGGGCAGCAGTATGGACTTTTATCATGAGTCTTGCAGTTAGAGTTGCTCACCTATATTTCCAGCTCCTCAGAAGCCCAGAATTCTTTTCTTACTCCTGATGACAATGGACCATGGGTCTGAGTGGGGATAGGCCTGTATGCCTATGCTGTGGTGTGTGAAATAGAAAAGCAGGCCTTCAACAGCTCCTTCAATGGCTTGTTCAGATGCCTCTCCAGTTTTCCTCCCCAACCCTGACATCTCAACCACAGAAGGCAGCACAACAAAACAAAACAATAACCATGACAAACAAGCCTGGAATGGTGGCTCACACCTGTAACCCTAGCGTTCTGGGAAGCTAAAATAGGATTGCTTGAGCTTAGGAGTTCAAGACCAGCCTGAGCAAGAGTGAGACTCCATCTCTATTAAAAAAAGAAAAATGAGCTAGGCATTGTGGTGGGTACCTATAGTCCTAGCTACTTAAGAGGCTGAGGCAGGAGGATTTCTTGAGTCCAAGAATTTGAGATTGCTGTGAACTATAATGATGTCACTACACACTAGCCAGGGTTCACTGCACACTAGCCAGGGTGACAGAGTGAGACTGTCTCAAACAAACAAACAAACAAAAAAATCCCCCTGAACACTATAATAAAAACAAAAGCAAAAACAAAAGCAAAAAGCCTACCCCTGTCATCCCAGGGATTTCTCACAGTTATCTCCTGGAAGAGGGAACCTTCAGTCAGCTTCTGGAAAGCAAATAGAGCTGGAACTACTGCCTGTAGTTCCTTATCAGCCTGGAGTCACTCTGGAAGGAGTCACTTTTTCTCTCCCCACATAGAAGGAGTAATTCTCCCAGTAATCCAGTTCACAGGACACCCCTTCACTTGTTATCCTAATGTCCACTCTCCTTTTCTCTCCAGCACTTTCAAGACCAGGTAGTCATACCATATTAGCTAACACTAGGGTAGAGCTAAGTGTGAGGTACTGTATTAAGGCTTTACATATATTGACTCATTTCATTTTCTCCTTTTCATAAAGCTTAGCAATGTCCCTCTTATCTGCTCCCCCGCCATCTTGCTCTGACTGAATGGCTTACTGCTATACCTAAAGGTAATGCAGTGTATCAAATACATGGGGACAGGATGGGCCTTTATTCCCATCCCCTCAGAAAGAACTTGAGGGTTTCATAGTATCCTGAAGCATAAAAGGATATGTATTTTGTAGTTGTTGGGATAATTTTTTAAAAATATCAATTAGGTCAAATGTTTTATGGCATTGTCAGATCATCTTTGCCTCTACTGATTTTTTGTCAGCTGTCCTATTAACTATTGAAAGAAGAAAGAAGAAAATACCATGATGAATGGAGATATGTCTGTTTCTCCCTTAATGTCAATTTTTCCTTCATGTATTTTGAGGTTCTGTTTTAGGTGCATTCAAATTTTGATTTATACATCTTCCTAACTAACTAGGTCATTTATCATTATGTTTTTTTAAATCTCTAGGAATAGTCCTTATCATGATATAAATGTAGTTCTTTTTTTGCTTACTGTTTTTAATGATACATCATTTTTGGACTAAATAAGCCAATTGAAAGTCAAAGATTGTCAGAATAGATTTATATATTAAAAAAACACCAACCAAACAGAAGAGGTAGATCAAGATAACAGACCAGAAGGATCATTCAGCTGAGCTCTCCTAGAAGGAATGGGGAGCAAAGGACCTGGTAGGGGGACTTTACCCAGAGTCATAGCTCAGGGAGCACACTAAAGAGGTGGTAAATTGGATACAGCATATGATCTGGAGCAGTGAACATTTGATAAATTAGGCAAGTGATTGTGACTGGCTGGGATTGGCTGTCCCCCTCACAGAGGCCTAGGATGGGAGGAAGACTTTTAGGAGTTTTCAGTAGTTGGGGGAAGCTGCACATTGAATGAAAAGCCTAGAAGAGTGGGTGAACTTGAACAATATATAGCAATCAGATTGAATGCTGGTTGGAGTGGAATTGCCATAGGTTTGGTGACTGGCGATGCAACTACACTGAGAAGGTCTCAGCAGCCAGAGGACTGCCACTGTGGGAAGGTGGTGAGAAGATCTTAGCAAGGCCTAAAGCACAGTTGTCTTAATTCCGCCTGCAGGGATTAGAACTCCACTCTTGGGACAGGCTGAGGGACAACTGCATTCCATAGGAACTAGAGTTGGGGGCATTATGAGACCTGCCCCTGAAGGATTCTTGTGAGGTTTAAGATTCCCAACCTGACAGGGTCTGAATGCTGAGAAAACAATCAGGTGATCACTAAAGGCAACTAAGTTTGTAATAAGGACCATAGAGGTTGCTGGCTGAGCTCACTGTCTCCTAAAGAAACCACAGAGCTACCTGGTGTCTGGGTGACATATTACAACATTCTGTCATCAACAGCAAGAATTTCTGTTTGAAACAAAGGAGGCAGTGAGAAGTTAAAAGGAGGATAGGAGGGGAACAAATAAAGAACACATGAGGAGGAACCAACAGAAAAATACAAGCAACATGAGAAACCAAAACAGAAGAACTCCTCCAAGGGACCATAAGGCAGCTACTGCAGATGATTCCACCTATAAAGATTTAATTGACTTGACAGTAAGTGAATTTAAAATATGGATGATAAAGATAATAAAAGAAATGGATGAGAAAATGGAAAGACAGAACCAAAAGTTGGATGAGAGATATGTAGAATGTAGAAAGGATATGGCAGAGTTTAAGAAAATGAAGGAGTCAATCAGGGAATGTAAAGATGCAGTAGAAAGTATCAAAACTAGGTTAGACCATGGATAAGAAAGAACCTCAGAGCTAGAGAATAAAGTTCTTGAGTTAACCTAGGTAGTAAAAGAGGCAGAAAAGAAGAGAGAGAAAGCAGAACAGACACATAGAAAACTACGAGACTCCATGAAGCATTCAAACATACAAATAATAGGGATTCCTGAAGGGGAAGAAGATTGTCCCAAAGGAATGGAAGCCCTACTGGCAACTATCATAAATAAAAACTTCGCAAATTTTACTAAAGACCCTGACACATTCTTTTCAGATGGATATCAAACCCCAGGTCATCTCAACTCAAACAGAGCCTCTCCAAGACACATGGTAATGAACCTGTCCAAAGTCAAGATGAAAGAAAAAATTCTGCAAGCAGCTAGGAGTGTCAACTGATCTATAGAGGCAGAACCATTAGGATGACAGCAGAATTTTCAAATGATACCTTCCAAGCTAGAAAAGCATGGTCATCCACCTTCAACATTCTTAAGCAAAACAATTTCTAGCCCAGAATTCTGTATCTTTCTAAACTAAGCTTCAAAATTGATGGAGAAATCAAATCTTTTGTGAATATACAAGCACTGAGAAAATTCGCTCCAAGATCAGGAAATATTACAGGAAATACTTAGACCTATTCTCAGCACTGACCATTACAATGGACCACCTAGCAAAGTAAACACTCAGAAGTCAAAGATCAAAACTTAGCTTCCACAATGGTGCAAAAAGGATAAAGCTACACAATGGACTTCACCACACTTATCAATTCTCTCAGTAAATGTCAGAGGACTGAATTTACCACTGAAGAGGCACAGGCTGGCTGATTGGATAAAAAAGCACAAGCCATCTGTATGCTGTATCCAGGAGACACACCTAGCCCTGAAGGAAAAATCAAGACTTAGGGTTAAAGGATGGAAAAAAGTATTTTAAGCAAATGGAAATTAAAAGAAAGGAAGGGTTGCAATCTTATTTTCAGATACAAGTAGATTTAAGGCCACTAAAATTAAGAAAGACAAAGGTGGACACTTTATACTGATCAAAGGAACAATACAAGAAGACATTTACATTTTAAATATGTATGCACCCAACTTAAATGCTCCCAGATTTGTGAAACAGGCCTGAGCAATATGGTATCCCATAACACCATAATATCTGGGGACTTTAACACCCCTCTGACAGACCTGGACAGATCCTCTGAACAGAAATTAAACAAAGATACAGAGGACTTCAGTGTGACCCTAGAACAAATGGAATTAATAGACATATACAGAACACACCATCCCAAAGCTAAGGAATATACATTTTTCTGGTCAGCCCATGGTATATACTCCAAAATCAACCACATCCTAGGACACAAATCAAACCTCAGCAAAATTAAAAGAATAGGAATTGTACCTTGTATCTTCTCAAACCACAAAGCAATAAAGGTGGAACTGAACTCCAAAAAAACTTTCATCCCCACACAAAGACTTGGATATTAAACAAACTTATGCTGAATGATATTTGAATTCAGAAAGAGATAAAAGAAGAAATCATTAAATTCCTCAAACATAACAACAATGAAGACACAAGTTACCAAAAACTGTGGGATACAGCAAAAGCAGTTTTAAGAGGGAAATTTATCACATTAGATGCATTTGAAAAACAGAAAGAGAGCACATTAACAAATTCATGAACCATCTTAAGCAAATGGAAAAAGAAGAAAAATCTAATCCCAAATCCAGCAGAAGAAAAGAAGTAACCAAAATTAAATCAGAGATTAATGA